GAGAGAGAGAGAGAGGGGGAGGGAGAGAGAGAGAGAGAGAGAGAGAGAGAGAGAGAGAGAGAGAGAGAGTCAGTCTGGCTGGTGCTGCCATTATCTGTCTTTGTCTGGCTATGTCTGACCTGTTCTTGAAAAGATTTTACGTCTTGGTCCTTTGCCAGCAATGATTGCTTTGGTCTACCTCTAAAATGCCGCATTGGAAGAAGTATCAAGCCACGCATAATAATGTCTCTTGTAAGAAAGCTTATATCAAATACCAAAAGCGTATTTTCTTTTGCGCTTATTTCCTTTTCGTGGATAGTTGGCTACTGCTTTGATGTGGTATGCTCTTCCTTTCCAATCAAACATCTAATGTCCTTATCTCTCTTCCTTCTATTCTTTTTGTGTTACTAATCTAGATCTAGTAGGAAAACCTCTTATCTTCGACACTTACGTGGCCTTTTTGTGTTGCAAGCGCCGTAAAACTCTTACTGAAACTAAAACTTATTTTTGTTACAACACTATCTATGTCGCTCTCGGACAAGTCTGATTCTTTTGTTTCGATGTAAGTGTTTTCACGCCCTCATGAACATAAATAAGATAATTTAGGAGGCAGGCTAACGACCCTGTCTGTCGAGGCCAACTCATGCTGAGAGGGATATAACATGGTAGCCGGAACACAGAGAGAGTCAATTAAAATTGTCTCCCCACTCGGGAATCGAACTCGGGTCTCCTGCGTGCGATAGCAAAGCGTCTAACCGGAGCACCAAATACGCCTATGACAAGTGGCATCGGTGGCCAAGTGGTTAGGCTACCGGACTCGTAATAATGAGGTTACGGCTTCGGGGGTTCGAGCCTCCGCTCGGTCCGACGTTGTGTCCCATGGAAAGGCACTTTACTGGAAATTCCTATTTTGCTCGGTCCCTTTGGATATGAACGTTAAACTCGGAGGTCCCGCCTCTTAAATATCCTTTCAGTGTTGATAGAGGCGTTAAATCCGTGCCATTTTTCCTCGCTGATAAAGCCATCATGGTCTTCAATGGTATCACATACCGGCAAATGCGGTGTAGAGGTTAAGCGCTTGTTGGCCACACGCAGAAGACCTGAGCTCCATTCTTGTGTGGGTAGAATGTTTCTCAATTATCTCGGTCTTTCTCATGGGACAGTGCACAACTTTCAGTCTGAGCTGGCCCAGACAAGCAGAACCGAATCCCGTGTCCCAAATAAATGGTCTAATCTAAATCCTGGCGATGGTGCGTAAAAATACACCCACATATCATATAACTCTAAATAACATCGCTCATATTGTTTCAAAGACATCACAGAACATTCAATACCACTTTCACTCTTTTTGTACTATGATTTACCAGATTGATCTAGTCATACGGTATAATAAAAGGCAAGGATAGATCGATGCAGTGCACACTGTAGCAAAAAAACACCTACAGAAGCAGAACAGCAACAATAGCGACAAGAGTTGGCCATAATCTATGTGGTATCGTGGTGAAATTAGGCTTCTTTAGGCCATTTTTATCGTTGTTTTGTGTGTATGTATGTATGTATGTGTGTGTGTGTGTGTGTGTGTGTGT